CCGAGGATGGTGCTAACTTGTGAATGAGGAAAATAGTGGTTGGACAGAGTGCGTTGTATTATTTTTGGTGCGTAATCCTATACTAATGATTCTCAAGTGACCAAAGAGTTTTACGTCCGTAAGAGAACATGGTCCCATTAGACCCATTATCGCTGCAGCAGGTCCGTCCTTCCCCGAAGCCGACGGCGGCGGCTGCGTCTGTTCTCTGCGCACAGGGGCTCCGCGCCCTGGTCCTGGGAGGACAGACCCAGGCTGGCACGCTGGGCTGGAAGGAAATATGGTTCATAGACTTGTGTTATTCTGGGTATCCCCAGCAGGAAGGCTTCCCCTTGGAAGCCTGCTCCCCGCTGGTGGCTGGTGTTTTCCTGGGAATAATCTGAAGTTCGCATCTCTGACTCCCTTCAGGAAAGGTTGCATCAGTTTATTTGATTCTGTTCGAGTCCCTCAGGGGTGGGCCGTGAACAAAGCTTCATGTTCAGGAAACAGCGAGCAGGTTCTGCACTTAGCGCACTGACCCTGGTCGTCCGGGGCTTTTCTTCTCTCCCTGGATTAAAGCTCAGCTTGTGCACCACGGATCCTCGCCACCATGTCAGAGCTAATTTTGAGTAAGTGTTGCCGTTTGTTTTTATATCTAGTAGAGCTCCCAGCGTTGTCTGGCTGAAGGACGCAGCGAGGGGGCGGGCGAGGCATTGGGAACAGGAGGGGTGGGAAGGGGTCCCCAGGATCGCTGCCATCACTTCTCTCTGTCATGACTTTGGTGGCTCTCTGTCCATCTCATGAGCTCATCTGCACTTGGGGTCTCCCCAGTCAGGGCCAGGATCGGGGGAGATTGCAGTGGCCCTGCCAGAATGTGAGTTCTAGGATGGTGGGGGAGGGGCTGAGCCTGGGGTCTGGATATGCAAGTACTGTTAGGGCTAGTCTCTGACTTGGTGGGACGGAGCTGCAGGGGGCAGGCTCTCCCTGACCTCCTGATGGTCCTGTGTGAGGACAAACCGAGGGCCGGCCTTCCTCGGGGAGAGGGTAGGAGGCTCACATCAGAGGAGTTCCCCTCCGGGTATTAGCACTTACAATCTTTGGCATTGATTTTGGGGGAAGGCAGAGGAGCCTTCATGTGATGATGACCCATCTTCTCACGAGGGAAGTTGAGTGCTGGATTGATTCCTGCACTGTAGGCCACTAAATGGTCTTACTGTTACCATTACTAGGCCAGATGCCTCATGGAGAAACTGTAGCGTTCTCTGTGATGAAAAGTATTCTTCTCAGGTGGGAAAAGTTAAAGCATCAGTGGTGCATGTCCTCAGAGGGCAGCCTCTTCTATTTTCTGCAAGCTAGGACAGTTGGGTGAGCGGTCCCCTCTTTGTGTGCTGTGGATGGGGGGGGCTGGCAGGGAAAGAGCCCTTCCAGGCTCCAGAGGGCAGAGCAGTGAGGCGAGCCGTGGGGTGAGTGGTGGGTGGGGTGAGTGGTGGGTGGGGTGAGCGCTTGGGACCTGGTGCAGCCTGGGCGGTGGCTTGTGATGCAGGAAGGGAACGTGGGCTTCCCAAGTCAGGAGAGGCGGGGTAGAATCCTGGAGTGGCCACTTGTTACCGTGGGACTTTGGGCAAATCGTTGATCTTCCTCAGCCTCACTTCGTAATGTGTAAGTGAAGATAATTGAGCTGACTTCCTGCCTCTGCAGTGTTGATTGATCAAGTGCAGAATAGCAGGTGGAACAGAGAGGCCAGAAAACAAGGCAGCTACTCCTAAGAGCGTCAAGATGCTCTTCCTAGTTATTTGATCAGCAAATGGTTCTATGGGAACCTCCTGTATTCTGTCTGTGAGGGGGAGTGAGCTGTACTTTGCTTGGCTTCTTGGCTGTTGGGGAAAGGAATGGTCCTCTCCGCCCCAGTGACACCCACATCACCCCATGGAGGCTGGTCTTTTCCTACCTAGTTAGCTGGGCAGTAAAGGAGAGAACAAAATCACATATGGAAGTTTTTTCCTTTGAGTGGGTTTTTTCAATGGTCGAATGGTAATACTGACCTTCCTCGTGGAGCTCACATTCTTTTTTTTTTTATTTTTTATTTTATTTATTTATTTGAGAGAGAAAATGCGAGAGAGAGCACGAGAGGGGGGAGGGTCAGAGGGAGAAGCAGACTCCCTGCTGAGCAGGGAGCCCGATGCGGGACTCGATCCCGGGACTCCAGGATCATGACCTGAGCCAAAGGCAGTCGCCCAACCAACTGAGCCACCCAGGCACCCCTGTGGAGCTCACATTCTTGAGGGGGAAGAGGGCAAATCAATCAAGATACGTTCGTAGTGCATGTCTGAGCACGGCCATGGGGTGCCGGTGCGGGGAAGGTGACAAGGAGTGATGGGTGTGGGTGGTTGTGTGCGGGCGATCCGAGCGCGGCCGTGAGCGGGGAAAGTGACAGCGAGTGATGGGGATGCTCAGGGTGCGTGGGCTGGGCCCTCTGGCCCATGCTGAACTCTTTTTGGAACACCTCCTGGGAGCCTGTGGGTGTCAGTGGGTTGGGGTGCCACGGCAGGGAAGCAGAGAAATGTCCTTTTCAGGCTGCACCCCTCTGTCATGAGTCCCCGTCATGTCCTGTCCTAGGGAGGCAGACGTCTTGGCGTATGGGCGAGTGTTTGTGCACCTTCTCAGTGGCATTTCTAGGACTCGGGCTGCTCTGGTCCTTGCCGTGGTCCTGACCTGGAACCAGCTCTCAGGGAGGGTTTCCAGGTCTTTGTGAACCTTGTTCAGGAATCCCGGGTTGGCCCCACTGTGGGGCCGCGATGCCCACTGACACAGTGAGGGTCAGCGGACTTTCCCGCGAAGAGCCAGATAGTGAGTATTTTAGGTTTTGCAGACCTTTCTTTGCGTGTTTGCGATTTGGTTGTTTTATAATCTTTAAAAGTGTAAAAAAAGTATTCTGAGCTTGAAAGCCGTCCAAGGAGAAGGCCTGGCCCTTGGTCCACAAACCCAGCTCGAGAGGCTCTGGGGAGCTCTGCCTGGCCCCTCACAGAATACTGTCTACCTCATGGGGAAGCAGGGGGTGGGCTCAGGGGGTCTCACTGTTTTCCCACAGCCAGTGGGCAGATGCCGGAGAAGCGCTGAAACCACCCAGACCTGCTCCTCCCGGCTTCTGTCCTGTCTGCTCTGTCGGAATCCTGGGGGCCACCTGACTGCCCTCGCTCACACCCACACCTGACTGTCGGCCGTCCCAGCAGCTTTTCCTTCAGAGTCTGTCCAGAATGTGAGCACTTGTCATCGGCCCTATTTGTCATCGTGCCCTGCAGGACAGGCTGCGACCTCTGACCTGGATTGTTGCAGCCACTCCCCAACAGGCCCCCCTCCACCCTCCGGCGTAAGGAGCACCCTGCGCAGGATCCCTGCACCTCTCCCCCTCCCTGCTGAATGTCCCCCCTGAACACACAGTCCTGGCTAACGTGCTGTGTGTTGTACCTGCTTAACCTGATTTATGTATTCTCCCCCCGACCCCTGGAATGTAAGCTCCCAGAGGACAGGGCTGTCTGTCCATCTGCTCAGGGCTAACATTCCTGGTGACTGGAGCAGTGCTGGAACCAGACACTGTGGGGTCCCTTCGGTTAGTAAATGTCCGCCCTCCGTGGCAGCAGGTGTGAGCTGAGTTTTCTCCACCCAGCAACATCATTAATACATTTCAAAAATTCCAGTGTGTGTACTGTGTTAAAAAACGAAATCCAACCAAGTAAATTTGAAGACCTAATTGGCTTTATTGAGCAATTCCTGAATCGGGCAGCATCCCGTCCAGCAAGTGGAGAGCCGCTCCTGCAGCCGTACACAGTGGAAGGTGTTTGCAGGAAGGACGGTGGGCAAGAGGCTAGCAGCAGAAGAAAAGAAAGGCTTGTTTCAGGATGGAACGTCTTCTTTTCAGGGAAGAAAGAACAGCAGGGTTGTTTTGTTTTTTAAGATTTTATTTATTTATTTGAGAGAGAGAGCATGCGTGCGTAGGAGCAAGGGGAGGGGCAGAGGGAGAAGCAGACTCCCTGCCGAACAGAGAGCCCGTTGTGGGGCTCGGTCCAGGACCTGAGATCATGACCTGAGCCAAAGGCAGACGCTTAGCCAACTGAGCCACCCAGGTGCCCCTACAGCAGGATTTTTATCCTACAGATGGCCTCACCAGAGCTGATCAGGACCTTTTAGAAGGACTCCTGGGAGAGGCTGAAACTGTAATCAAGTCTTGGCTTGCAGTGCTGGGGGCCAGTGACTCCATTTTGGGCTTCTTTCTTTTTGTTACCAGCATATACCTTTCCCGGGTGTGCAGACCCCGTATGTTGCCAACCTCCTGAGTGTTCTTGGTTCTGGCCTGCCAGTGTGCCACCAGGACCTAAGGCTGGGGCCATTTAGGCCTCTTGGTTATTTGAGACGCATGAGTGGGCCCCGGTGTCTTCTTGCCGATTCTGTGTCTGCCTCCTTCACCGAAGCCCCTCGCCTCCTCTGGCCACCAGGAGAGCTGATGCCTGCCATGTCCTGTGTTTCCAGTGCCCCCCGCCCCCATCACCCTCCCATCCAGCTCCTGGACAGAAGGCAAAGACAAACTCCAGATATACCTGAACTTGGTAAGATCAGTGCAGTAAGAAGTCTTCGGAAGCTGCAAATTTTACTTAATTTTCTGTTTGAAGTAGATCACATAAGTTAAAACCGCAGCCTAACCTTTCGCCTTCCCTAAAGCTTCTTTAAACAGATTCCTTGTCATTTTCTACCTTTCATTTGATCCCTTTTCCTTCAGGCTGTGATCTCCCAGGGAAGGTGCTTTAACCAGAGAAAGAAGGTTCTGGTTATCAGATAGTGCTCAGTGTGCGGTGCCTCTGGCTTTTGCAGCCCCGTGTCTAGAATAGTGCTTAGGACTTGTGGAAACCTACCAGCATTGGCTAACTAACTCATTGCAGTGAGAGGATCGGGATGCGCAGATCTAGGGGTAGAGGTATGGAATAGAAAAAAAACATGGGGTAGAGGTATGGAATAGAAAATAAATACAAATGTAAGCTGTTTTGCTAATTGTTTTATAACCACAACAAATTTGTACAGAGAATGCCCTGTACAAAACAACACAATAAAGGTTCAAAGATCGAGGTGTTCCCCTAGGCAAGGCTGAAGATTTCAGTCTCTGGTATTTGGAATTTAGGCTGCAGTCCTTGGTTTTGGATGGATCACTGGGTGTGTGACACAGTCCATGCTTTTAACCAGATTTGAACAGAAGAATGGCCACTTGGCCCAGGTAGAAGTAGATGAAGTGTTTGGTTTCATGTGTCACGTAACTACCGAAGTTCCTCCCCACGATGCAGTGCCAGGTGGGGTTGTACTTCTTATCAAACTCCTTTTTAATATGGGCCGCAATGTCCTTCTCTATGTTGTATTTCTCCAACGCCTGAGTCGCACACTCCACCGAGTCCTATTGCATCTCCTCCGACATATCGGCGTTTTTGATCACGGCCTTTCGGTCGCACATGGTTACCGAGGAGCAGGGGACGGCCAACTGCAACGGTCTCCTGGGGGAAGGCCTCTTGAGGTGGAATTTGTTGGTAGGACCGGAGGGGCCTGAATGTTTACAGGATCTGATGGACAGAACAGGACTCACAGGTGCAGGCCCATCATGCGCTCGGAAATAGACCCGTAGTAGCAGGGTTTTATCAGGAACGTGCTCTCTCACATTGAGACCTGTTTCCCACCTCCGGGAAGACGTTTGTTGCTGGGGCTGCAGCAAGAGTGGGAGGTCTCTCACGGGAGCAGAGTTACACCTGGTGGGTCAGAGGAGTAAGGGGCTCGTAGGCCTCAGGAGTCCTGGAGGCCAGCTCTCGAAGCCCAAGTGGAGGTGAGGCCATTGGGCCATGGAGGGATGGAGATGGGCCACGAGGGTTGCATGGTCAATGAGCAGCAGAGCTGGTTTCTTGACTCTTCTCAGAGGCCTGTTTCCACCCCACGGCATGCTCCTTACTCCATTACGTCTTAACCCATGAACTCAAGGGATTGACCGAGCCCCAAACACAGGAATTTCCCAGGCTTGTCGTCCTAGCTTCTGCCTGATGCCTCGAAGGAAGCAAGCACTGTGTCTGACCTGCCGCCCACGTGAGCTGGCCTGAGGCGTGCTCCCAGCCAGCAGCGACTCACAGGAACGGGGGGACGGCTGCTGACGCCGTAAACCAGCTTCCCACAGCCCACACACTGTCCTTTTCTGCTGGAGTGTGAGTAGGATCGGTTTGGAGTGGGGAACCTGGGTGGCCCACTGCCGTTCAGGCTTTATCATAGATGTCAGTATATTCTGCCGCTCCTCTCTCTGTATCCTTGTCTGGGGGAAAAAAAAGGGACATAATGACTATATCACTGTCAGGGTTTGGCAGGAATACATTGGGGAGTTCATCCTCAGGTAGAAGGAAGTGGTGTTGGGGCAGGTGTGTATGTGACCTCTTAGTAAGTCCCTGAATGGCTCAGAGTAAGGAAATCCTCTTTGAGAGGACAAACAGTTGGGGCGCCAGGGTGGCTCAGTCGGTGAAGCATCCGCCTTCGGCTCAGGTCATGATCCCGGGGGCCTGGGATCGAGCCCCAAGTCAGGCTCCCTGCTCAGCGGGGATTCTGCTTCTCCCTCTGCCCCTGCTGCTCCCCCTGCTTTTGCTCTCTCTCTCTCTCTCTGCCAAATAAATAAAAAAATAAAAATCTTAAAAAAGAGGACAAACAATCCAGAGACCCCCTCCAGCCTTAAATGTAATGATGTCCTATGTTTGACTTTTAAAGTGTCACTTGCCGGCACCCAAAGTGTAATGTTTATGTGGGCGGAACGGAGTCGAAACAGTAGGTCCTTAGTGTCTCCTGTGCATTTCATTCCCAGCGGAGGTCAGAGCACCAGGCCTGTCTGGGCCGTCTGTGGGAAGCCGAGAGTAACGTGGAAGCCACCACGACCCTTGAAGCTTGCATGTGGAGTATTTTCTCGGCCTTAGCAATGAGAGAGTGCTCTGCCGTGAATGCCGACTGAGTCCCAAGCCAAGCTGCCCACCAGAGAGGCAGCTTCCGGAGGCAGGTCTGCAGATCCTCCCAGCCAGGGGAGGAAGAGTCTCAAGGCCCCAGCCCTGGTCGTCACTGGAAATGTCTCTGGGGCATTTTCAGCAGGAATCTGTCGCGTCTGCAGGGGTTTCCTGGGGGCTTTGCTACAGGAAGTATCGGTCCAGCAGCCTCTGCACGAGTCCTGCCTTTTTTTCTGCATGCTGTGACGGGACGGGGCGCGGGGTGGCCTGCTCTGTGGCCGGAAGTGGCTCCCGTGTCCTGGGCCGTCAGTGTCCAGTTGTGGCTGCTCCAAACGATGGAGCCCCTCCTCTCCCTCACCTGTGCAGGTGTGTTTGAAGGGGACCAAGCCCACGCAAGCTGCATGCAATGTGTCTGTGGCTGTTTCTCCCGTGGATCTGTTAACGGGTCCTCTGCTCGGTGGCAGCCCGGACGGCTACGGCCCTCTCTCCGGTCTGTGGCTCCTTCTTTGTTGATCGTCTCTGCTCTTCCCCGCTCCCCTGCAGACTCTGAGTGCGGGGAAGCCTGTTTCGGAGAAATAACGAAGAGCAGCTCCCCACCCAGAACATTGATGCTGTGTGGTTGCTTCTTTTGCTTCTGAGCGAGTGTTTGTGGTTCAGTCCCCGCAGACTCGATGCCCTTCTTGGAGCGTCACTGTGTTTGCCAGAAAGTTAAAAACCACAGAGTTTGATGGTTAAAAATAAACAACAAACCCGTCCAACTAGACTTCGCATAGTATTTCTCAGATCTTCAATGTCACCGTTGATAAGGCCGTTGGGGAAAACACTGGCTTAAAATGTTACTCTTTCCAGTTGAATCTGCATCTCGATAGGCTTATTTGGGTTTAAGTTGAAAAGTAAAGTTGTTTTTTTTTTTTTTTTTACTAATAAGCGTTTTATTTTCATGCAGTTCAGATTTAGATGTACAGATTTAGATTAGATTCGGCTAGCAGATCTGGATTTCAGTTTAGGAAAATGACACAGATAGGAAGGACGGGGAGCTCGCCCGCACCCACTCCCCTGACCAGTGACGTTCCCAGGAGCCACTGTCCTTGTCACAGCTCATGACCCAGCCCTGGAACATCAGTGATCGAAGTCCACACCTCATTCCCTCGTCCGTGCTTTTTACCCAGTGTCGTTCCTCCGTCCCAGGGCCCGTCCCATCCAGGACACCCCAGTGCATTCCGTTCTCCTTCGGCTTCCCGTGCCTCTGACGGTTTCTCCGACTTCCCTTGCTTCCCTGACGGTTGTGGGGAAGGCCAGTCTGTAGCTGCCTCTGCAGGGGTTTGTCTGATGTTTTCCTCGTGATAAGGCCGGGCTTGTGGGTTTTGGGAAGAAGCCCACAGAGACACAAGGGCTGGTTCTGTCCCATCACATCCAGGGTCCCCGCGGTTGTCGTGACTCACCATGGCTGATGCTGCCTGGGTCACCTGGCTCAGGTGCGTGCCAGCTTTCTACCTGCGGTGACCCCCCGCTCCGCGTCCACTCTGTCCTCTCTGGAGCAAGTCACCCTGTGCAGCCACACTTAGAGTCGGGGTTAGGCTCCAGCTCGTGGCGGGGAAGCCACCAAAACTACTTGGGTTTTTTCTGCACGAGAGAAGTGTCTTCATGCTCCCGTTTATTTATGCAGCCTTTTATTTACATCAGCCGGAGCTTGTGGACGTTTATTTTCTGTTTTGTGTCATAATCCATACACTTCGTGCTAGACACTGGCAGCCCGTGTGTTTGGCTCTTGTATTGTTGTGAGATACCCCAGCAGCGTGGCTGGCCATTCCGTTCAAGGACTTCCTTGCTTTGTGGCATTATAGAATGTTCCAGAATCAGCTGGAACATTTCCGGCCCAAGTCCTTCAATCTGCCATTGTGCCCTCGTTCCCTTTGTTGGATGTGGCCTTAGGAACCAAGACCTGGGCACGTGGTGTGCTTGTTGCAGGCGGGGGTATCCTTGCATATATAAGTGACTCATGCCTGTGTCCCGTCAGCTGGTGGGGCCCGGAAACAGCTGTGTGTCTCTGAACCTGCGCGCACGCACGTGTCTCCAACTCGTCCTGTTTGCAGCCGTCTGCACCTGGATGAGGCGAACCGTGAGTTCCCGCTGACGCCTCCAGCTCTGGCCCAGGACCACGTGGGTCATTCCAGCCGCCTCCCCTTGCTCGTCGGGGACCTTCCACTCCCAACACGAGAAGCCTGACTCCTGCCTTCCGCAGTCTGCTTGCTTATTTGTGGATTCCAGTGTATGTGGATAGTAGTTCACAGCCTTGTTGACCCACACTCCTGGGGAGACGGCTTTATCAGCTAGGGCTCAGGGCCTGTAGACAGTTCTGTCTGCCTGCGGTCTTCCAGATTCCACTCATTTCCAGACTTACCCAGCTCAGCACTCCCCCGACCCCTGCAGTGAGGTTGTTGTATGCGTTTGTAGTAGAGTTAGATTCTCTCTTCGCTGCCTTCATTCCGTCCCAGGACTCCCTGACTTCCTAAAGTATTTTTTTAAAAATGTGCATGCACCCAGGCTCACTCTTTGTGCTGTAAAGTTTTGTTTTATGGGTTTTGATAAATGCATAGTGGCATGTATGTATCATTGCAGTATTATACAGAATACTCTCCATGCCCTAAAACATCCGCTGCGTCCCACCTATTCGGCCCTCTTCCTCCTTCTCCCTCCCTGTCCCCTGTGATTGCTGATCTGTTTACTGATTCCACAGTTTGCCAATTCCAGAATGTCATATAATTAGAACCATACAGGATGTAGCCTTAAAAAAAAAAAGGACTTTGTTTCTCAGAGTTTTAGGCTCATAGCAAAATTGATGGCAAAGTACAGAGTTCCCACATACGCCCTGCCCCCACACATGCACAACCTCCTTTCCCTTCACTGTTGACATCCTGCCCCAGAGAGGGCATCTGTTCCAAGGACGAACATGCACTGACACGTGAGAATCACCTGAAGACTGTCGTTTACCTTGTCAGCTCAGGCTGCCATCACAAAACACCATATGTAGAAGGGAGGACGGGGGTGGGGGTGGGGTCTAAACAGCAGGAGTTTCTTTCCCCCAGTTTGGAGGCTGGAAGTCTGCAATCAGGTGCCCGCGTGGTCAGGTTCTGGAGAGAGCCCCCGTCTGGCTCCTGAGGGCTGTCTCCTCCCTGTGTCCTCACGCAGATAAGAGTTCGGGGAGGGAGAGACCAGATGGTCCTCTCCTGTAAGCCCCACCCTGTATGACCTCATGCCACCTTAATGACCTCCTAAAGACAGAGAGTCACATTGAGGGTTAGGGCTACAACATCGGGATTTGGGGAGGAGGGACACAGTTCTGTCCATGACATGCACAGTAGGGCTCACTCTTGTTGTTATACGTCATGTGGGTTTTGGCAAATGTATGATGACATGTATTCATTCATTGCAGTATTGTTCTGAATAGTTTCACTGTCCTAAAAAAAATCCCCTGTAGCTTGGCTCTCTATCCCCATCCCCCTCCCTGCCCCAGCAATCACTGGTCTCCCTAATTTTGCAT